AAGGCACCTGGTAGAGGTGGACCTGAGACAGGCGCTCCAAGCTCACGGGGCTTCAGGGATGTCTTGGCTGAGAGCAAGGGTACATCACCTGACTCTATCCTCTCACGGGAGCGTGTCTGTCCCACCATCCATCCAGTCAGGGTTTCCTGTTTTAGGAGACAGTGAAACTGGAGAACTCGGTGGGAGACCAAGTCCAGGAGAATGACAGCGTCCCAGGCTTAGTCCGGTGGAAGGAGGGCATTTCAAGACAGTAGGCAGTTAGATCGGGTGTTCAGGAGCAGACAGGGGAAGAACTCCAGGCTGAAGTCAGGGGCTGTGGCCAACTACAGGAGTGAGTACAGATCAAAGGGCAGACCACAACATGCCAGCAGGGCGATCCCAGCGGGCCACTTGAGCTGTGTGAATCCATACTTGAGTGTCCACTGGCTCACCCTGCATGGTGCATGAGAGGAACGGGGGAGGGGCGGTGATAGGCGGTCCTCAGAAGCCGGGGGGCAAACGCACATCACACATGGGAGCTGAACGGGGCCACGGATGGAGCAGAGAGAGAGCAAGAGGCTGAAGCATAGTAGAGGAAAGCATAACATCGCAAGACAGAGGCTTCCGAGCACAGTGGAGAGGGAGACACAGGCGGCAGCAAGGTCCACCCCCGGAAGGGAAAACCAAGTGGGAGCCCAGGCCACCCCAGAGAGGCACCTCTTCCTGTGGCTGCAGGCCACAGAGGCTAGAGGACAATGGTGTCCATAGCTTATTTCAGGCATGCAATGGTTAATATTGCCAGCTTGACAGGATCTAAAATCACCTAGGAGGCACATCTCTGGGCAGGCCAGTGATGAAACTTCTAGACTGGGTTTACTAAAGTGGGAAGATACACTCTAACTGGGGGTGGCTGAGGACAGACTGCATAAAAGGCAGGCAGTTAGGCAGCAGCATTCATCTCTGCTTCCTGAGAGCGGATACAATGTAACAGCTGTCTCCCGCTCCCTCCGCCATGACTCTCCCATCAGGAAGGACTAGAGGCTCAAACCGAGCCAGAGCAAACCCTTTCTTAAACTGCTTTCGCCGGTGCTGGCCGAAGAAAAGTAAGGAACACTACACGTGTGGGTCTCTGCACTTAGCTCGGGGCTGGGAGCCTTCTTGGCCTCCCACAGGCCATCTTCCCGTGTCCTCTGTACTCCACCCCTTTCCAGGTGCAGAAGCTGTCAGCTCAGGTGTCGAAGAGGCCAGTCAGACCAGGCTGGCCAGTACCGCCTGCCTGGGTCACGTTTGTCACTGCCTGGAGTTAGTTGTGTCAGGAGCCCAGGCTGACCTATCAACACCCTCACTGCCCTCCTCCAGGCACTTCCTCCACACCTTCCTCCAGCCGTGGGGTCCTTTGTCCCCATAGTTCCTACATTGGAACTGTCAGCTCTGCCTGTGGGATGCTCCTGCTGCCAGCAAGTCATCCGCTTGGCTTCACACTCATACCAGAGCCAGCTAGGGGTTGGGGAAGTGGCACTAAGAGGGTGATCTTAGCACCCCGTCACCACTGTACCCAGAACAGTCACTGCGCCCTCCTCAGGTTTGTGGCCAGCAGTGGCCTCACCTCACCTGCATGCTTGCTTTTCTGTCCCCATCTTGACATGCCTGGATAAACATCTGAGAACACTGAGCCAAACTCCCTGTGTCTGCTAGATTGGAAGCTTCCAGAAGTCCCTAAAGGAGGAGGCATAGAGGTGCCAAGTCGACACGGAACTGCTGAGTGGCACTTGGAGCAAAATCCACTAAACTGGAAGCTGCTTCTGCCCCAGCAACTGTCCAGACCTGAAGGGTGGCTCTTCTAATTGGAACCCTCCTGCACACAGGCACCCTCAGAGGGACCTATCTGATCCCAACTTTTAGGACAGGTGCTCTGCTGAGAAAAACCAGAGGCTGGGATAGACATGGAGAACCCAGCAATTTCCATACACACCTAATGAAGTCCTCTGTCAATGGAAGGAACCCCTCGTCCACACAAAACACAAGTGTCTTCTCACCATGCCTCCAACCTGCAGCTGGGAAGCTGCTGGAACATGGTGCCACCACGAGGCCAGAAGGGACTATGGTATTGCACAACACTATCCTTGGAACATAAAAGCCACTGTACAGCACTGACTCAAAATGGGGTCAGTTGACAGCTGACAGCCCTGCTGAAGGATGGGCTGAGGAGCCTCACTCATCTCCATCATTTCCCCCGACTCTTCCCAGACAATCGTCCATCCGTCTGTCCGTTTGCCGTAACTTACATGAACCCGTGGTCTCAGAACTTGCTGGGGTACATACACTGAGGAGGGTTGGCAGAGGGTGGGAAGTCACTGTCCACGCCTGTGGTGTGGCTGCCTTGCAGTCACAAATGCTCGGGACTTTTCTACCGTTTGACACTGGTGCCCTATGAGGTGGTGGACATTTGTTTATGTCTCCCCAGAAAGTGTTCCCCACAACAGATGGCGACAACATTCTCCACCTGTATGTAGGTCAAACTCAGATCCAAATCCTCATCCTGCCCTCTTCTCGCCATCTGTGAGGCAACCTCACTTCCTCTGAGCTAAACAAAGCAGCACATCTCTGAAACAATGCTGCCTGAGCTTCCTTTCTACGGTGTTCATTTAAAGTCACCCCAACATTTACAGAACCAGAAGCTGCCGTTGTCCTCCTCCTCCTTACAGGGTTTTTCTGTGTAACAGCCCTGGCTGTCCTGGAACTCACTCTGTAGACCAGGCTGGCCTCAAACTTACAGAGATCCACCTGCCTCTGCCTCCCGAGTGCTGGGATTAAAGGTGTGTACCACCACTGCCTGTCCGTCTTCATTCTTAAATTTAAACAAATACAATTATGGGATAAATTTACATGTATTTCTTTAAATCTTTTATTAAAAAAAAAAAAAAAAAAAAAAAAAACTTTTCCCCCCTGAGAAGGGGATTCCAGTACATTGCTCAAGATGGCCAACACTCCTAGGCTCTCTGATCCCAGCTGTGGATGGCCACCGAGAGTGCAGCATGGAAGTACATCCACCTGACCAGGAGAGGCAGCCTGGCCATTGCTGGGATGTGCTTTTTTAAAAAAAAAAAAAGGAAAGGAAAAGGCAGACACAGAAGGAACTCACAAAAATGCATTACTTTATTGCACCAAGATCTTGGCAATATCTGGGGGCTCCTGAAGAGGGAATGAAGAGTTTGGGGATCCCTGTACACATACAGATGCAGCCACATAAGGATGTAGGATGAGAAGAGCCCCTAACAACAGGCAGGTGAGGGAGAACAGAAACACCGGGAGGGGGCCCTCTGCACACGGGCCCAAACCATAGCTACGGCCAAGCACGCAGTTCAAATGATGTGACTTGATCCAACAAAATGGCTGCTTTTAGAAAAGCTTCAGTTATTTAGGACAGTACACGTCACCTAGAACTTTAATGATTTTTCCAGGCCCGTTCTGTCCCTAGCCTGTTTCTAATGGCTTCTGAGGAAGGAGAGGACTTACCTTCACTGACAGCAACACATGCTGCCAGAAGTCAGGATGTCAGTTGGGGGACCATGACTACCCAAGAGGCAGTGGATTACACTCCCCTGGAAGAGATTTTGCAACAGATAATCTATTGGACAAAGGAAGGAACCCATCTAGAGGAAACATGGGAGACAGATCAATTCTGTGCTGGCAGCTCCTACAACTTTCAACCAGAGAATGTCATAGGAAAAAACAAATGTGGCCAGGAAGCAACTGATAAAGGAACAAATGACAATACCTCAAAGGAAATGATAATCCCTGCCCATGAAGGTGCCTGCCTCCCTTCAAGACAACACATGAAGGCCACACCACTCCTGGACATGATATCCAGAACTCAGCCCACACAAGACTCATCACAGTTGGCTGGGAGACTCAGCCAGCAGACCCACCACAAACTGCTGCTCAGAAACGCCCACATGGAAACAGGACCTCACCTCCCCACACGGAAAACACAATTCTTTTTCCACATTTGCAGCAAGTGAGGCCCTGATCAGGCAGCTGGATAAAATGCTGCTCGTGGAATTGATAAGACAGCTCCTGCCCCTCCCAAGAAGCCCAGACTGAGGAGGCCAGCCCAGAGCAGCCTAGGACTCTGGGAAAGAAGAGGTGTGCCCCATGGGGAGGAACCTTCTGGCACTTTCCCTCTCCTGGGTGCTGTCTTCCCCTCACCAAGGAGTCTTGTTTGTTAAACCCTGAGTCCACAGGGGCAGCTGGAACAGGGCAGGAAAGGACTCTTCTTGAGTTGTACAATCAGCTCACTTGCAAAGCACTCACAAAACTGAGCAAATGAAGCCAGTATTTGCATATTAGAGGAACAAATTGCTACTGGAAGCCACAGGCCTGGTCAAAAATAAATGTTTTATCGTAAGTAGTAAAATAACGGAGAATTCACCTCTAAAGACCACCACCTTGACAGAGACCCGCAGGCTACTGCAGATGCAGGAGAAGCTCATCAAAGTCACCTCGGAGGGGTCAGAAGCTTTAGAAGCAGAGGCGCTGGCACGTATTTCAAGGCTCTCTGATCCCTAGCAGCTGCTGATTTCTAGAAGGTGTGGAGTCCTTTTGAGGAGATGCACTTGGGGGTGGGGGGCAGTGCAGTCACCAGGGGGTCCTCCTTCCTGCAGCTGACAGTCAGTCACACAGGGGCCCCTCTGAGGAGAGGGCCACGAGACAGCTCCAGTTCAGGAAAGCAAAGGAGGGCTCACCACAAGAGGCACTAACATGCCGCCATCCTGAGTGAAGGACATGCTGGGAGGTGCTGGCTCCAGTCCTTGTCTCTGACAGTCCCAGACCAGGAACAGAGGGGTTTTCCTACCTAGACCCCAGGGTCTATGAGGATGCTCAGCCTTTCCAGATGTCTCCTAGGTTACTGTCAGCATGACATCACAGGCCAGGCTTTCTCTTGTGAGGTTCATTATGAATGCCACCAGAGGCCCTGAGCTGAAGCCCCAGGGCTCCTACACTGGATCATCTATGAACTGTGGCACCAGGAGCCTCTGCCATGACAGGCTCACAGTGCAGTTGAGGCTGCAAGGCCGCTCCTCAGATCCACGTGGACAGTCCCCAGGGTATGATGTGACAGCTCTGGGATGCAGTGACACAGGCATCCTGGTCTTCCTGGTGAGAAGAGAAACCATGACAATCAATCCTATGACTTCCCTGGGTCCTTCAAAAGACATTGTCAGTCACACCTACAAACAGACACAAGACACACACATCATTAACTTATGCACCACACACGTAATACATTTACCAAACAAACTCACCACAAACACACACCAGACAGAACACATATACCAAATGGCCACAGACACCATACATACCACAGGCCACATGTGCCACATATATACGACACACATACCAAAGACAGATACATACCATACTCACACCAGACACATAAGACAAACACCACAGATAAACACATACACCACAGACCATACACCAGAGACTACACATGCTACACAAACACCAGATACACACACATCAGCCACCAGAGACAGACAGACACAGACCACAGAGCACACACACTGCAGACAGACACACATCCAAGCTGACCTCTAACAAGTGCAGCAAGCTCAGCGGCGATAGCCGAGGCTGGCCACCTTAGCAGGGTGAGTCACAGACCAAAAGTTCCGTTTACTCTGAAGCTTCTGGAAAGCGTTGAAGTTTCTCTTCTTTTCTCTCTTGAACTTTTTAATTTTCTTTTCCTACATTAAGAATCACAGTGTCAGTTCCCAGAAAGGCTCCCCCAAGCCTCGGAGGGTTCTGGCTACATACATGGCATATGCCTCCTAGACATAGGTGCCGTTCCCGCCCATGGACAGTGCCCTCTGAGGGAGGCTCCTGCCGCCCCCACCTTCCTGAGGAAGAGAGAGGTGAAGAGACCCACACCTGCCCAGGACACTGGATGCACAGGAGAAACATCCCAGCGGGAGGGGAGCCAGGAGGCTGACTCCAACCTGGCCTGACCGCTCTGTGCACACCTGCACCACAGACTGCTCTCAGCACTCAAGCTGCCCCGAGCCTGTGGTCACCGCCGCACGCCATACCTTCCCTCGATCAAACTCTTCATCCCAGTCGTCAAGGATGGTCTGGGTCCGGGCCAGTCTGCTGTCTTTGATAGCATCCTGACTGACCGCTGAAGGCTCACCATCCCAGGTCAAAACTGCACAAGACAGGGTCCAAGGTCAGTGCCCATGGCTCCCAGTCACCCTGCAGACTCTCGTCAGGACTCATTTACCACCAAGGCCCGTCTACGCTCACCACTCCAGGTTCTACTGCCTTTTAACAGAAGGCACCTGACAGGGGAGGGGAGTGTGATCAGTGTGAGCTCCAGCTCCAACTGTGAATGTCTTCTCTGTAACCTGTGCTCTCACTTCAGAAAGAGTCTCTTGTTTATGCTCGCCAAAGTCAGGACTGCCAACACCAGAACTGGAGGGTTCCATCCCCTTGGCCTTCTGAACTGGGGATCGGGATATTCTGGGCCCAGGGTTTATGCTTCCCATTTTGTCTCCTGCTCTTGGGCCTCAGATCTTTGGGATCCATGAACAGAATCTGCCTTTGTGCCCCAGCAGGGGTCAGGTTAAACATAGTCAATAACTGTTTAAGTTCTATAAATCTGAGCAGCATGTCTACCACATATCAGTACACCAGAACCCCCCCCCACCCCCCCCAAATGAATCAGTCCCTAGGAAGCGAAGCCCTGCCTCAGAGCCGTACCTTTTTTCCCATAAGCCTTATCAGATGAGTCCTGGAGCAACTCTTGGACCACATCAGGTTCTCGATCTCTGTTCCAGGTCATAAGAGGCGCTTGTCCCAGCCCTGTAATCAGAAGACACACTGAAACCGAGTCACTGAAGAGACGACCACACGTTTGTAACGGCACCACAGGACGAGCTGCCAAACTGCTCCCTTCCCAGTGACGACCCTACCCCATGTCCAAAACAACAAAAGCCAGCAGCACGAGACCCCATCCTCTGTCTGACAGAAGAAGGGGACTAGCTCTAAGGGAAGCCTCCTAGCCAGCCACAAAGGGCCTGCTGCCGTGGAGACCTTCAAGTCCCCCACAGGCCCATGCCCTAGAGGCCTGGACCCGAGAAGGCGGCTGCTCCAGGTGTTCAGGTCACTGGCTTGCCCTCCCTGGGAAGAGTAGGACCACAGCCACCCTTTCCCTCTCTCTCTGGCTTCCTGACCACAGTGGCAGTTTTGCTCTGCCATGTGTCACTGTGACAAGCTGTACCAGAGGCCCAGAACTGCATGGGGCACGGAGCCGAGACTAGAGCTCTGCCTGCCTCCCTCTCAAGCTCTTGGGTTATACACTCAGGCACTATGCCCAGCCACGCTTTTTCTCTAAGACGACCATCTCAGGTATTAGCTAGTGACAGAAAGCTGACATCGGTTAGTGCTCCCAGGAGCCTGCAATGAGGAACAGTAAGTTGCCACCTCGGTGGCTATCAGCAGGAGTCCTCACCTAGGCGGTCACTAGAAAGATGGCCGTTCACACTCAGCTCAGGGACTGGGGTGATGCTGGGCCTCGGGCTCCTCTGGCCTTCTGGGTGCTTGCTTTCCTCCTCCTCCTGCTGTGACTCACGCTTCCTTTTTCGCCTTTTCTTCTTCCTCTGCAACTCTGTCCTGGCCTCAGGCTCACAGTGGTCTGCAGGGGAGCAGCTGTGGGAGCTAGAGGAGCAGCCAGTCAGCCCCCCTCCAGGTACACCTGCAGGCAGAGCGCACTCGCCCCTGCAAGGCACCACAGCTCCACCCGAACTCTGCAGAAAGTTCCACCCTGAGCCTGGGAGACAGCTCAGCTATGAATGGCACTTGGCACCAAGCCTACTAACCTGGATTGGATCCCTATTCCCTCAAGTCGCCCACTACACATGTGTCATGGTGTGCAAACATGCTCACATGCACACAGGTAAACAAATAAATATAATGTTTTAAAAAAGTTGTTGAGATGGCTCAGTGGGTAAATATGCTTGCCATCAAAGCTGACAACTTGAGTTTGATCCCCAGAACCTACATGGTGGAAGGAGAGAATGAACACCTGCAAGTTGTCCTCTGACCTCCACATGCATGCATGTACACACCCACACACACACACACAAATTAAGGGCGGGGGAAGAACTTGGAAAGAAACCAAAGCAGGGCTAGAGAGATAGTTCAAGAGCATTGGCCGCTTTTCCAGAGGACTCGGGTTCAATTCCCAGCATCCACATGGCAGCTCATAACCACCTGTAACTCCAGTTGTAGGGGACCTGATACTCCCACATCAACACACATCAAACAAACAAATAAAAAACGAAGCTCCCCCACGACACTCCTAAGACTGCTGGCAGTGCTGTGTGAATGGTGGCGGTTCACTCCAGAGCTGAGGAGTGTGTGGGAGGCTTGCTGTCCACAGCCACAGTCAGCATGATGCTAGAGAGAACACACGGTCCCTCTGGCTCTATCGGGCACATACACTGCATCCACAGGATGTTGCTGCAACCTTCTAAAGACAGTGCCTGGCCTGGGGCCACCTGACCCTGTGTTCTTGGCTGTTCTTATGCACAGTGATAGCCATGGCCTAGATGTCCTCTTCTACCCTAAGGGAACTGGCACAAACGGACACAGGGCACATTCCACCCCATGTCAAGGCCAGCACTATACTGTTAGCCCACAGCACCTGGGAGGCTATGGGTACATCCCAGCCATGCTCTTACCCATGCTGTAGTAGGTTCTGGGACAGGGTGGCTTCCTGGCTAAGTCCCTCTGATCTCTTCCTCTTCCTCCTTTTCTTGCTTCTCACATGGTGACTGTCCAGGACGTGATTCACTTGATGGCCATTTACCTGGGGATGTGTACCCTCTTCCTTCCGGCCCCTGGGACTCCAAGGCTGGTCCTGAGACTGGCCTTCCTGCTGGGGAGCTGTGGCAGCCTCTTCCTCTAGGCACTTCTTCTTCTTCTTCCTCTTCCTGCGTGCTGCTGCAGGTGCACCCCCAAGGCACTGTGGGAGGTGTGTATCTATGCCCAGTCTCTGGGGATCTCCATTAGGGGTCTTTTTCCTTTTTCTGGAGGGGCTGTGCGGGGCCTCGCTGGCCTCTGGCAGCTGGTGTAAGTGGGACATGAAGTGCCCATTGACCTGAGGCGGGGGCATCCAGGCAGAGGCGCGGCAGCTCTGTGGCTCTGATGTCCCTAAGGGCTTGGCGCTACTACTGGACAGTGATGCAGAGTGGGGGTGGATGGAATGCTTCAGGAGGGTAGATGGTTGGGGAGCAGGTGCAACAGCCCTGTAGACAGCGAGTACAGGGAAAGTCACTGTAGAAGATCTGCACAAGTCATTCTTCCACCAACCCCCACTCCACCCGCCTTTACACCGTAAGAATTTGGGGGGAGCCAGGCGGCGGAGGCGCACGCCTTTAGTCCCAGCACTTGGGAGGCAGAGCCAGGTGGATCTCTGTGAGTTCGAGGCCAGCCTGGTCTATAGAGCGAGATCCAGGACAGGCTCCAAAACTACACGGAGAAATCCTGTCTCGAAAAACAAAACAAAAAAGAGTTTGGGGAGATGAGGTCTCCCTATGAAACTTGGGCTGGCCTTGAACTCACAGAGATACATTTGTCTCTGACTCCTAAGTGCCTGGGTGAGTGCCACCATGCCCAACTCACCCTAGAATTTTAAAAGGTTATTTTGCTCTGTAATTCTTAGATACACAAATCCCATGGTTTTTGAAGACAGGCTAACAAAATTCAGTTTACCTAAAATCAGAGTTAATAAAAGCAATACATGTCTCAGTTTTTTGTTACAAAGCATTTTTTTTTTTTAATAGTGCTGAAAGTTGAACCAAGAATCTTGGGCATGCCAAGCAAGCACTGTACCACTGGGCTACACACCCAGCACAGATCTGAGTATTATAAATTCTATTTTTTTTTAATTTAGGCATGGTGGTACACACCTGCAATCACAGCACTTAGGAGGTGGATTAGGAGGTAGAGGCAAGAAGATCAGGCATTCAAGGCCAGCATTTACTAAGTGAGTTGAAGACCAGCCTGTACCACTTGACAGCCTATCCTTAAACAGACAAACAATAAAAAGTGTTAACACTTGCTTGTGAACCCAGAACTTAGGACATAGAGGCTGGAGGATCAGAAGTTCAAGGTCATCCTCCAGCACATAGCCAAGGGCTACAACAAAACAAACAAACCACTGGGCATCCCACCAGAGGCCTCAGACAGCACCTGGGAGGCAGAAACGGGTGAGTTCCTGGCCAGCCAGGACTATAAAAGTAAAACCCTGTCTCAAAACCAAACCCCAAAACCCTCCCTTCAAACAACAAAAACTAAAAGCAAAAGAAACCAAATCCCAATGTTTCACATTTTCAACTGGAATGTGATAGGAGGTGAAATGAACAAGACGTCCTGTCCAGATTTATCTTCCAGAGGCCATCATGGTTCCCCTTGGGGACTGAGCATTCCAAGAACAGCCCAACAAGCCATGCACCATCCATGGTTACGTTCCTCTGAATTCGGGGTGGAGTCTGGGAACCCACTTTCACAGAGGCGACCATTCTAAGAGAAGGCAGGGCTGAGCAGGCGAGGCATGCCTGTGGGACCCACAAAGGTTTAGTGGATTCACAGAGACTGTACTTGCCATCATCCAAACTAGAACAGACTGGCAGTGCTGCCCGGACTAATGTGACTCTAAGTGTCTGCCAGAGCTTTAAGACACACCTACACGGGGCTGGGAGGTGGCCCAGCAGTGAGGAGCACTTGCTGCTCTGGTGGGTCATTTCCAGCACCCACATTGCTCACGTTCCCCTGTAACGCCTGGTCCCCTCTCCTGACCTGTAGGCACCAGGCACACACATGGTGCACAGATACACACGCAGGCAAGACACTCACACATAAACCTAAAGTAATTAAGACAAAAGCGTCTATGCCAAGTGTGGTGGTGCACAGCTTTAGCTCCAGCACTCGGGAGCAGATGGAGGAGGATCTGAGTCTGAGGCCAGCCTGGTCTATAAAGTAAGAGCCTGTCTCCAACAAAAACATGAACAATTCCCGCAGTGTCTCAACATTTAAGAACACACCAACAATGTTATGCTGGAGACAGGACGTATGCACGTTCATGTTTGGGGTGGAGGCAGCAACAGCGACGTCACCCTCACAGCATCCGGGACTGGAGGAGCCCAGCAGTGCCACAGGACCTCACCCTTGCCCTCTCTCCATCCTTGTCTCCCAGCTGCCGAGGCATCTGGTCCCTGTGAACCCAGACAACCGTGGATCTTCCTATCCTGCACTCAGCACCCTAAGGGACACAAGCACCGTGTATTCCAGCACCCCTCTGGATCGGGAAGGTCATCCACAGATGAGATTAAAGGGCCCTGAAGAATGCTACAGCACTTGAGAACCCAGTCTCGCCCCTGCAGGCCTGGCATGCGGCCGGCAGCCCGGAGACTCAGGATGCCTTACAGGGAGGGCTAAGGCAATGGAGGCACTGTTGGAGACGAAGTCATGAGCCTGTAGGAAAGCTGTCCCCGCGGGGTTCCCGTGCCTCTGGACTCACATGGGGTCTGACTCTCTAGAGGGCACAAGTCAGGACAGTGCACAGCACTTCAGGTTGCAACATGCTGTGGCAGGCAGCTGAAAACTCAAGACTTGGGACCCCAAAGACTAAACCAACTCTGACCAACTGAGGTTCCTTTACCAGACAGGGGTGGACAAGAGGGGCCTCTGTCCTGATGGCCCATGGGCTCTTCACCAGCCAAGTACACGAAACCACAGGAGGGAAGGAGTCGCACCCAGGGGCCTCTGCCCAAGCTCACCTGGCTTTACTGACAGGCCGAGTGGAGGCAACGACGGGGTGGGTGGCTTTCATGGGGTAGGTGAGGTCGGAGAATGCTGAGGGGGGAGGTGAACGGATGTCATTGCCGGTCGCCCTCCGCAGGGTGCTGGCCTGCAGTTATTGACATAAATAAAAACTTGGTGGTCTAAAAAAGGTTTCCGTGAGTGAAGAGGGAAAACAAAATTAAAAATAAATAAAAATAAAATAAAAGAGCCCAGAACGATGAATAAAGGGACAGAAGAAAAAAACAGGGAGGGGGAGGGGGAGAGAGGGGATGGCAGAAGAAGAACCAGAGAGTGTTGTTGGTTAGAAATAAAAAGGAAAAAGGAAGGACATTTAAACAAGTATCCCAGCACAGTCCCCACATACCACTCTCTGCCCCCACAGCTGAGTGGGAAACTCCTCCTGCCCACTGTGCCCCTCTCCGTGCCCCCCCCCCCCCCCCCCCCCCGCCAGCTGTCCTTCCCCTGAGCAGCCTGCTGGCCCACAGGTCTTCCTCTGCGGCTCAACTAGCAGACCCATTTGTAGAAAGCTGGTTAGTACTCTCAGCCTACACTCCACTAGTAGCCTGAGGTGCTGACCTACCACCTCCACCCAAACATCCCTTCCACCTGTCACACTGCCGGGAATACCCATCGGCAGGCACTCGGGTCCTC